ACATATGGCTTGTCCTTCTTTCCCTATAAAAACTCAATGTCCATGATATATGACCTGATGAACCTGTCAGTTCCAAACGGTGTTTGATAAGTATCCTCATGTATCGCCTTACGGCGTGCGCTCCAAATGGCCCATAGAGTTACCGTCATCAAAAGAAATTGCTCCGGCGAGAGGGACTCGCTCATTGAGAAGAGCCAAAGCTTTGCATCTGTCTGTGTGGTCATGGTCAAATGCTCGACTAGTTCCTCGTTTGACAGTGCCCACACACAACGAGATGCGGTACACTCCAGCAGAGCATGGCGCCAATTGTCGGGCGCGCCACAAAGGGGGCAAAGGCAGGTTGTTGCCATGTTCCGGTGGAAAAGAACATCCCCCATGGGGAGCGGATGTTGAGCCAGACGCCATGCAAAGAACCTCAACTTGGGTGGAACTGTGATCTTCCGGAGTGATAGCCACCCCTTAGATTCAGCTTCGGAATTTGATGGGTCCTCTCTTTCTTCCAGCCAAGCCTCGCGACTGACCTTTGTTTTGAGTACCATTCTGTATGCTGATCGTACAGAGAAGCGACCTTTAGGATCCTCGTGCCAAGCCAAAAAATCGTCAACTTGACGCGAGCAAAGTGGGATTTGTAAGATCGCCTCTGCGTCAATAGGAAGGAAAACTTGTCGAATTATGTCCTCTCGCCATGAAGCTGTGGAGTGGTCAATTAACTCTGAAACCAACTGTGGGGGTTGGCTACTAGGGACGGAATAGGTTTCATCACTCCGCTCCTCGGTATCTAGTTCTTTGACCATATGCTCGTTGAAACTCCATCTCCAATCCTTCGGATTGCACCCTGCTTGACAATACCTCTCCCATCCAATATGGCACGCCATACCTGGGAGGGGTGTGCACCCAACTCTGCTTCAAGAATAGAGCAATTGGGAAAGTATACAGCTTTGAGAATCCTCGCACTCAATGCTGATGGCTCATTCATGATTCTCTAGACCTGTTGTCGGTGTCAAAACCGGTGGATCTCGGGTAGGGGGTCCCGAACTGTGCGTCTAAGGTCGATGGTAACAGGAGACAAGGGACACGATGTTTACCCAGGTTCGGACCCTCTCTATGGAGGTAATACCCTACGTCATGCTTGATTGATATTGATGAATATGAGTGTCACAAGAGTTGATCTACCTCGAGATCGTAACGGCTAAACCCTAGAGGTCTAGTGTGTATGGTTATGATGATGAGTCTCTTCTATCCGGACTAAGTCCTCCGGTTTATATAGACACTGGGAGGATCTAGGGTTACACAAGGTCGGTTACAAAGAAAGGAATCTACATATTCAGTCGCCAAACTTGCCTTCCATGCCAAGAAGAGTCCAATCCGGACACGGGTGCAGTCTACGGTCTTCGTATCTTCACAGCCCATCAGTCCGGCCCATGGCTAACAGGCCGGACGCTCGAGGACCCCTTAGTCCAGGACTCCCTCACCTGTCTTGACAGTAAAGCCAGATTAAAGATCTCTATGTCCCAAAATCCAAGGCCTCCCAAACTCGTTGGTCTTGTCATCAAATCCCATGCTACCCAAGCAGGTTTGCGTTTCCCTCTTTTACTACCCCACCAAAATTGTCGTGTGATTAAAGTCACACTCTCGCAGAGCCCTCTGGGCAGTCGGAAGCAAGACATAGAGAACATTGGAATAGCTTGGGGCACGAATTTAATAAGCACCTCCATTCCTGCTGCCGACAAAAGCTTTTCCATCCAGCCTTTTACCTTCTCCCACACTCTGTCTCGCAGGTACTTGAAAGCACCATTCCTTGACTGTCCTACATTTGTAGGCATGCTCAGATACTTGTCACTTAGAGATTCATTTTGAACATTAAGAATGTTTTTGTTGGGGAATGTAGCAGAAATTCAAAATTTTCCTACGTGTCACCAAGATCTATCTATGGAGAAACTAGCAACGAGGGGAAGGAGAGTGCATCTACATACCCTTGTAGATCGCTAAGCGGAAGCGTTCAAGTGAACGGGGTTGATGGAGTCGTACTCGTCGTGATCCAAATCACCGATGACCAAGTGCTGAACGCACGGCACCTCCGCGTTCAACACACGTACAGCCCGGTGACGTCTTCCATGCCTTGATCCAGCAAGGAGAGAGGGAGAGGTTGAGGAAGACTCCATCCAGCAGCAGCACAATGGCGTGGTGGTGGTGGAGGAGCGTGGCAATCCTGCAGGGCTTCGCCAAGCACCACGGGAGAGGAGGAGGACTTGGGAGAGGGGGAGGGCTGCAGACATGACCGAGACGTTCTCCGGTCAATAACCAACAGCGGGATCTGGATACCCATGTTGGCTCCCACATGTTCCACGATGATCTCATCGGATGAACCACGATGTCAAGGACTTAATCAATCCCATATACAATTCCCTTTGTCTATCGGTATGATAGTTGCCCGAGATTCAATCGTTGGTATCCCGATACCTTGTTCAATCTCGTTACCGGCAAGTCTCTTTACTCGTTCCGTAACACATCATCCCGTGATCAACTCCTTGATCACATTGTGCACATTATGATGATGTCCTACCGAGTGGGCCCAGAGATACCTCTCCGTCACACGGAGTGACAAATCCCAGTCTCGATTCGTCCCAACCCAACAGACACTTTTGGAGATACCCGTAGTGTACCTTTATAGCCACCCAGTTACGTTGTGACGTTTGGCACACCCAAAGCACTCCTACGGTATCCGGGAGTTGCACAATCTCATGGTCTAAGGAAATGATACTTGACATTAGAAAAGCTTTAGCATACGAACTACACGATCTAGTGCTATGCTTAGGATTGGGTCTTGTCCATCACATCATTCTCCTAATGATGTGATCCCGTTATCAACGACATCCAATGTCCATGGTTAGGAAACCATAACCATCTATTGATCAACGAGCTAGTCAACTAGAGGCTTACTAGGGACATGGTGTTGTCTATGTATCCACACATGTATCTGAGTTTCCTATCAATACAATTCTAGCATGGATAATAAATGATTATCATGAACAGGGAAATATAATAATAATCAATTTATTATTGCCTCTAGGGCATATTTCCAACAGTCTCCCACTTGCACTAGAGTCAATAATCTAGTTCACATCGATATGTGATTAACATTCAAGGTCACATCCCCATGTGACTAACACCCAAAGAGTTTACTAGAGTCAATAATCTAGTTCACATTTACCATGTGATTAACACTCGATGAGTTCTGGGTTTGATCATGTTATGCTTGTGAGAGAGGTCATAGTCAA